TATGTTCCCAGCTGAACTAACGAGTGTAATATCCATACCAAGCAACTTGGTAAAGGAATATGTGTACCAAAACTCCACCAACCTACCTTCTTGTTGAAATATGTAATTGTTGAAATCTGAGTCTAATGATACCACCACTGGTCGGCCAAACAAATTATTCTTGATCAAATTAAGGCCCATACCTTAAAAACCAAACATAACATTAAAGCAAATTTTAACAAGAACTTACATAACATTTTGAATCACTTTCAAGAGGTGAGATCAGTTATTAAACATTTGAAATTCTAAATTAAAGGTTTTAAATTCAAATTTTGAATCAAATAAGGAAAGATTAAAAAAAAAAAAAGAATTATTCCTTCTTTTATATATAATTTATTATCAAATGTATTAAAAAAAATAACATTTTGAATTTCTCGAACTATAAACCATAATGTGAGCTATTATCATGCCTAGTTATTGTTTTAAATGCTCAAGCGTCTTTGGGTGGCCAACATGTATGATCAGAAAATTTTCACTTACCTTTTCATTCTCTTTACAATGAAAGGTGGGATGTCTAATGACTTGCTTTTGACAAGAAACTCAAATGTCTCTCCTAAAAGAGGGTACCCCATGGAACGTGGAGGAAGTTTGGCGCCTTTGCACTTTGGGTTCCCCCACCTATAAACCCAATAACGGATTGTGACACTAACTACAAGAGATATAATAAGACAACGTACCAAACAGACCAAAATCATCTCCATATTAGATGACATATAAGGAGATATAAGGGATGGTTCTTGTGGAGATATAGTGCACTCCCTAATTCCTATATGGAAGCTTTTGATGAAGAGGGTGATTAGTTAAGAATATTTTTATTGACGAATGGAAATTAATTTTATTGGTCTTCTCTAATTTCTATTTCGTCTCATTTCGTCTCATTAATTAAAAAAGTATAAATACTAATGACTTAAAATGATTTATTGGTAATTTTCTTTTAGTAAAAATAAAAAAATTTAAATTTAAATAACATAATTTGTGAATGTGGTGAGTTAAAAAAAATTATTTCTTATATATTGTGTAATCCCAAAATTTTAAAAAAAAATGTTTACAAAAATTAATATACAAGTAAATTGTACTAACATATTTATTTTATCTGTATTATATTAAACTATACAAAACTAATTTGATAGAGTAAACTCCATGACATATGTCATCCAATTAGCTCCCATTTCCGAACTCCACTAAGTGGTCTGATGACCGCGTGTCTCATTGAGATCAGTGGGCTGTTCACTTGATCTTGGAATCGAATCTTCAATTACTAATATTTAACAAAACTAACCTATTAACCATTGTCCTTATTAAAAAAAAAATGCTCCCATTTCCCAACTCAGTCGTCGTTTTAGGCACAAGGTCCAAATTTTCTTTAATTCCATTGCATCTTCCATGTGTTCCATGTGGGGTTGCCTTGTGCTCGATGCTAAGGTCAATTTAATAAATAACACGTTCTGTTCACTTGCATTTCTTCTATAAAAATAAAAAATAAAAAATAAAAAAACATGCCTAGAGAGCGTTTCCAGTGAGAGCATGTGCATTTCTTCTAAAAAAATAAAAAATAAAGAAACATGCCTAAGGAAGGACAAAGACACAGAAATATTAATTTTTATATAATTTTTTTATATAATTGTATATATTATTTAATAATTAATTATTTTATTTTATTTATTTATTTTTTTGAACAATCTGTAATTATTTACAATGTTAATTAGGGGATGAGAGAAAGGGTTCCGTAAGATTCGAACGTGCAATCCACGGGGTGAACAGCCCTAACCCAAATCCAATGCCACTGGGGCGGAACGGGCCGTTCAATTTTTTTATTTTATTAAAATTCATAATATTATATATATACATTTATAACTCATTTAATAACTCATAGTAGTGAAAATTTTATAAAAACGTTATTCCAGTGGTAGAGCTAAGAGAACTACAAGGGCCACGCCCCCTAATTGTACAGTAGAATTTTTAGTATAGTCCATTATGTCTTATTCTTATTATTTTTAGGCAAAACCATAAGTTAAGCCCCTGAACTAACCCCAGAATCGCTATTAAGCCCCTAGACTTTAATTGATGCAGTTAAGCCCTTGAACTCTGGGATCAAAGCAATTAAGCCCTTCTTCTTA